TGTTGTTCCCGTCTTCGTTACTTGCATGCTTACGTGTGTGATGCATGTGATGATGCCATGCATCGAGCGAGAGGAGGAGAGATAGAAGAGATTGTGTGTATGTGTGTATGAGAGAGGGTTTTGTGGAATGTGCGGCCATGGATGGCATCGGAGGACCAATTGGCTACCGTATTCGGGTTATCCAATCCCCGATCTCTGGATACTTTTCATCTGTCAACGGTGTCTGAACTCGGCCACCCACGGTCACGGCGAAACCAATAAATAAGCCACCGATAGTTGCGTTCGATTTGGGTAACTCGTTTTCAGGGAATGAAATAAAAGCCCACCGAAGGAAGAAGGACCGAATCCGAACGGCAGAAGACGCGACGACGACTCTCTTCTCTGCGCCAGCTTTCTTCCCTCTTCCATTCCACCATCCAGCAGCTCCTTTAATTCTCATTCTTCTCCTCATTCGCGTCCCCAACTACTCGACAGGGACGTAACCAGCTTCACTCACAATTCCACTACAACATCTTCAATTCTATTTAAACCTATCAATCAATAAGAAAACTTAAACTTTTAACTATTCCTTTAACAAATCTCTTATTTACAAGTATAGAAACATTAATATTCTTTCAACAATCTTTCAAGCACGTCCAATGTACCAATAAATTTATAGGTAACAAGAGAAACATCAATGTTCTTGCATATAAACATTTAAAGAACATCAGAAATAGCAAAAATCATCATTTTTTGTTTCTATTTGGGTGTTGATTAACTCTGATTACGACCCTGCAGTTGTATATTTATTCGATTCGATCCGCAGGTAGCACACACGAAGGCGCAGGAGAGGACAACTTCCTCTCCGCTCTCTTGCGCAACTCTCCGTCTTTCTCTTTGGTTAATTGGGTCCATCTCGATGGTCGTCGTTTCCAAGAAAGATCCGCTTCCTCCGGGCTCTTCCTCCGATATATCGGAATACATCGAAGAGCGGAGAGTAGAAAAAAAAGTGGAGTGCACTCACACCAGGTAAATAATTTTCACGCCTCGCCGCCGACGATGCCGGGCCGGACGACTCGGTGTGGTGTTCGTTCGTTCGCTCGCTCTCTGGGATCACTCACCAACGAAGAAATTCCCTTGTAAACATTGTAATCTCACGCTATTACTTTGCATAATTATCTTGCATCTTTTTACACCGTATCATACACATAACTCTGCCATTAATTGCGTTCCCATTTATTAAACCAACTAACAGATCATAAAGCCTGAGTGCTTGCGCGTCTAGACTGCAGATCGCAATCTTTGTCACACACACACATACATATCTATACGTATACACACATGCAATATATATGTGTGTGTGTGCAAGCCCAAACTGCGCTCAAACTCGATCAATTCTCCCAAGACTAATCACGATGTAGTGGAAAATCGAAGCACAAAACCAATTATCATTCAATAAGAATCAAAGCTCTTAAAACACATTTTTTGCTTACAAACATTCACAATGATTTTCTTAATTATATTTATGAAAAATTAATTAGTAACTAACCCAAACTAAGTTCAATAGTTTTGTAGTCATGTAGTTTTAATTTAATCTTGGTTAGTGACAAGAAACAAACAGACATGTACTTAATTAGATTTAGAGTTTTGATTAATCATTTAATTTAAGTTCTTGTTTAGTTTAGTTATGTTATTGTAGACATGTAATACTAAATATAAATAATCTTAATTAAATGAAAACCAGAATAATTATACAATTAGATTTGTACTTAAGATTTTTTGGTTTTTGAAATAATGAATTTATATATAAACCAAATTTTGATCATTCACAGGTTTTTTTACTTCGCTATTAATATGTAGACTAAAATAATTAGAAATAAAAATGTTTCAATAAAATTAACAAGTAATATTTTCTTAAGATTATTGTAAAATAAGAGGAATAATATCAAAATTAACATGCAAATACTGAAACAATGATAATTAGAATTTATAGAAACTGTAAATCAAATTTTTTTATAAATTTTAGGATATGTACTTTTGCAATCTATATTTATTTATAAATTTCTGCGAAAAAAAACAAAAAAAAGTCCCCAATCTCGTCCGATATTACCAAAAACTACTCCAAGCATAATCTAAATGTAAAGAATGCACTCGAGATAAGCAATCATCTAATATTATGTTGTTTATTTCCAAAATAGTCCAAACTTCATGTATATGAATCAACAAATTAATTGCATATTTTATTCATAATAATCAATGTTTTTGATAATAAATGTAATTTATAAATAAAATAATAATAATTACATACAAAAATTGTAATTTTAAACATATTAATTTCTTTATGTATGTTTTGAATCTTACGATTTTATAGGATTTATTGATGTAAGATTTGTCAAAGTAAACTCACTATTAATTTTGCAGTTTACAATATTTGCTTAGTTTTAATGCAAAAAATCATATTCATCAACCAATACAATACAGTTTTAATCTCGAGATAAAGTAAAATTACCTAAATTATCTTTATTTAATTATTGCACGTAATATTCCAAACTCCAAATGCATATTCAATAATATTTTGATTTTAATCTATAAATATTATTTAATTAATTCTATTTCATTAAGTATTTTTTTCAAAATTTTCTTCTTTTCGATTTAAGTAATTCGAAATGTTTTAAGATTAAATCATTGAATCAAGTATATAAATGTAAGTTGATTTGTGGATTTATGAGGGACGAGGATTTAAGGTTTTTAAACGTTTACATTTTTTTTTACTGCGGTAATAAAAATGTTGGGCTGTGAAAAGATCTGATAGCGAAATCCGTTGATGTACTTGTCAAAAGTTCGGGAATGTCTGGCGATTAATTGCTCCTTGGATTGAGAGTCAACGGGAGTCGAGTAACAGATCATAAAGTGTGCGTCTAGACTGGTGCAGTAAGTCCGGTGCGATGCACACAGTTCAGTCAGTGTCTTGAGGGCGAGGTGGAAGAGGAGGAAGAAGATAGTGATCTTGTCACATCGAGTTCGCTGTTTTCAGATAAGAAGGGAGTAAAGGAAAGGTCGTAAGAGATGGTGTTTGCTGTAAAGGGCGAACGAAGAACATAATGGTTCTGCGATGGCGAAAGATTAGAAAGAGAGGTGGTCGTCTAGATTGAGAGATCTTTTTACCTAGAGTGGACTGGGCCATCCTCATGGTGACTGGCAGTTCGCCGCAGGGTGGGTCGTTCTCGGCGCCTAACTTCCTCTTCCTCGGTCTGCCCTTGTGGTGTTGCGGCGGTGTCGTCGGATAGTAGGCACCGGGGGAATCGCTGCTCCTGTACACCATGTCCATGGGATCGCCGCTCGGATCGCAAAAGTCCAGCAACTCGTAATGCGGTCTAAACACGCACAACAACAACAAAAAAAATTCTAATTATAACAAAACCGTGGGAAGATTATTTCGAAGGAGCAGAAGATATGTTTACCTGCAGTAGACTAGTCCCTCTCGCATCCCGAAATGATCGCCCTTCGACAGCGGAATCCCGCACGAGCTGCACGAGAAGCAATGAAGATGGTACACCAGGTCTCTTGCTCTCATCACCAGCTCATTTGCTGAGATCCCCGCGTGACATCTGCCGCATCTCGAGACCGCGAACATCCTGCAACATCAATAATCAAAATCAAATCAAATTTCATTTCATATGCTCAACTACAATTCATGTTACGTAACGAAAATTAAGAAACCGATGTATCGATTAGAAATTCAATTACCACCGATTTCGAAACGCTAATTGATAAAACTAACAACCTTTAAATAATCGATTGATTTCATTTAATCGTCGCACGCCTTTGAAAACATTTTTATTTCTTGTAATTAAATTAATTAATTTGCCAGATTCTCGTTTTTACATAAAGAATTTTCTAAAATTTACATAGAAATATAAGATTTTAACAATATATTAGTTGAACTAATGAAGAAAATGATTATAATTTTATTTTTTTTTAAAGATAAACATTTCACTATAAATTAACAGCAACACTTTTTATTGGAATATTTCAATATTAAAATTACAATTTTTTCAGAAATTTTAAACAATAATATTATAATAATTTTAGTAAAAATTAATGTAACAAGTTACAGATTATAATTTTAGTCATACTAAAGAAAATATTAAAAAAAAACCCTAATTTATAAATTTTCTTTTTTTTTTCTCAGTGGGTCAATTCTAGATTATTTCTATTTGATTATTATTATAATTCATTTTTATATGCAAAATGTTGCAATTATTGTAGATGTAAGTTTTTCAATCTTGAAAATAGTTTAATTATTATATGAAAATGAAATTTATTGATTTATAAACGCATTTTTTTTACAATTATTGTTAAGTTTCATTATTATTTGTAAATGCAAAATAATTTGAATTGATGATGTTTTATCTAAAGTAAACATCTTCGTTTTTTTCAATATCTTGGTAATCTTGGTTCAAATTCTAGTTTTCTTTATAAATTTCAGATTTTGTTAATCGTAATTTTTTTAGAGGATTTTCATCAGGATTCATAATCTACCATAAAATAATTATTTATTCTTTAATTTTCAAGAAATAACAACAAATTTAGATAAATGTTTAAACTATTAAAAACTTTTCTTTAAGAATTATCTATAACAAAGCTATATATATATAGATATAAAGCCGCAATGTCAGTTAGCTTATAAATAATTAGTATCTGTAAGTGTTGAAATGGAGACAATTCTAGATTATTTCTATGTTGGATATCTTTTGATGATCATTATAATTCATTTTTATATGCAAAATGTTGATATAAGTTTGGCAATGCAAAATAATTTGAATTGATGATGTTTTATCTAACGCATAGATGTTCTAGATTTGGATATCTTTGATTAATAATAAAAAAATCAATATCTTGGTAATCCTGGTTCAAATTCTAGTTTTCGTTATAAAATGATAGAATAAATCTTAAATCAAGTTGTTTTAATAAATCAAAATCAGTAGAAAATTTGCATACAGATGCGAAAGTAAGAATTATGTAACCGATTAGCATGTATAAAAATTGTGATTAATGTATGTAAAAAGGATGATGTGAATTTTGAGGTGGAAGCAGGTTCGCAGTGAAACTGCAGAATCGGCGAGGTCTGCCGGTATCGATTGAATATTATTATTATTTCAATATACATGGACTGCACTGACTGACTGGCACGCAGCAAATATCGGACACATTTTCACCTTCGCCATCATCATCATCATCATTACGGCAATACATCATTATTGTTATTATTTCCTCGATGGTAATTTGCATAGCGGTGGCGGCGGCGGCCGCCGGCACACGCAGATTGATGAATTCATTAAAGCAAGGTGAGGAGCACAAGAAGGAAACAACAACAACGACAGCAGCAGCAGCAGCAATAGCGACAACGAGAAGAGAGCGAAATGAACGAAGATGGGAAGAAGTAAATTGAAAGAAAAGAACAAAAAGTACACATACTCGAGAGAAAGACGAACGTAATTACTTGTTAAATTATATGCAATTTGCGGGCATCCGCCAAATTGCTCTATCCCCCCATGCCATAACCGATTGCCCAAGAAATAAATTGATTCTCGTACGCGCATTTAAATATTCACGTAACCGCTCGTGTTTATCTTCACTCGGACGTCCGAAACGATTGACGGACATCCGATACGCGCATTAATTGGGGAGGGCGGTTTTTATGTTTTGATAACACAGCCACGTCGATGTTGTTGTTGTTGTTGAAAAGGTATATTTGCGGCCGCCCCCTCGTTACCATCGATGTTTTGTTGTTTCGTTATTCTGTTGTTGTTGATGTTGCATAACACGCCGCCCCCGGAGTGTTAAACGTCAGCGGCACATTGTGCGTTACACGCGGGCTTTGTGGAAAATTTCCACGCTCACCTTTCATAATAATAGTTACAATAATAACAAAAAAAATAAGAAGAATTCAGCGCACCGTTAATTGCAATTTCCGCGCCGCACCGGAAAATCGGAAAATGTCACGGGCATTAAACACGCAGGTTTTTTGTTTGCTGTTGTGTTTACAGCAAATTCGGTTATTTGTTTGTCGTTGTTAAATATTACAAGCGTTTCGGTGCGAGTTTATAGTTCTCGCTTCAACTAGACTCTAGTTACTAGAGTATTATAAAATTTTGCATTTAAATAGACTACACGCATTCAGTTTTTGTTAATCGTAATGTTTTTTTAAAGGATTTTCATCAGAATTCGTAATTTTCGTATTTTTATATTAAATAAAATTTTCAAGAATTAACATCAAATTTATATAAAATGCAATTATTAAAGTATAAAATTTTGCATTTAAATAGACTACACGTATTCAGTTTTTGTTAATCGTAATTTTTTTAAAGGATTTTCATCAGAATTCGTAATTTTGAATTTAAAATTTAAATTTTCAAGAATTAACATCAAATTTATATAAAATGCTATTATTAAAGTATAAAATTTTGCATTTAAATAGACTACACGCATTCAGTTTTTGTTAATCGTAATTTTTTTAAAGGATTTTCATTAGAATTCGTAATTTTCGTATTTTTTTATATTAAATAAAATTTTTAAATTTTCAAGAATTAACATCAAATTTATATAAATGCAATTATTAAAGTAAATAAATACATTTTGAAAAATAATTATAAGTTTGCTATTATTTGATATCAAAATTAAAGAAAGTNNNAAAATGTTGAATAACATAAATGAAATTGATTGATGCAAAAAGTAACGATCTGTAAAATGAAATAAGTCAATATTGATAATGTTATTAATCAATTGGATTATTATGGCAGTGATAAAATTGATGAATCAATTGAAAACCGTTGACGGTTGTTGAACTTGCGAGATTGATGGGTTCTGTTCCTCATCTAGCGTTTAACTCCTTTCGCATCTTTCATACGCACGTCTTCTGTTCGTCTTTTTTCAGTTTTGTCTGTTAATCTTAATGTGGATCTATAGGCGTATGCATATACTCGATGAAGGAGAAGAAAAAAAAAGAAGGATGAAGAGATAGAATTAAATAAATTGAAAGGAGCAAAACCGCGTACGGCCGTGTTCATGCCATGTGACAATTAGTAAATGGAAATGAATGGGTTTTAATTAAGACCGGCCTCACCACGAATGGGGCCGTATCAAATTGATGAATGATGATCGTCATCATCGTCGTCGAAGAAGAAGGAGAGTTTCAGATGATCATCTCTCGAGAGAAAGAGAAAGAGAGTAATGAAGACGGCGCGTTTTGCGGCTAATGCCTGAAGGACGCGGAGGGATGGTAAGATCATCACGGGTGGATGGGATGATGGATGGTGAGGACCGTCGGAGCCAACAGGTTTACATGCTCGATGGATACATCATAATTTGTATTTCCGCTGTTATGACACATGCAGATAAGTTATTTTAATAGTGACAAACGCTATCGGACGACGGCGATCGATACACGCGCACTCTTCGATATTCATCCTCTTCGGGATCTTGACGTTACTTTATTATTTTTTCGTTTCGTTTCTTCTTTTCTCTGTTCTCGAAACCGTACCTGTCAGATGGTCGCCGCCGATAGCATTATTATTCGAAACCCCGAAAATTACTATCAACACTCGAACAAGGGGGGGAAATCATCATTTAATGCTTCGAGAGAGTTCACCGCTTAAGTGACAATTTAATTGTGCACGAAATCCCAGAGAACGTCTACGACAACATCAACAACAACAACAACAAATAAACACACGCCTCGTCTCGCTCGTTACTCATAAACTCCTTTTGTAACGAAAGATTATTACAGATAATAACAATCCGCGCGGACGAATCCGAACTTTAATTGGGGGAAAGGGACAAGAAAAATAAAAAACATCGTGATGCAATATAAACGTTTGTTTTGCTGAATGAAACGACGCAACGATTTCATTCATTCCATTTCTTCTCGCGTTAGCAGATGAAAATTCCTCCATTTTTGGAAAAGTCATAATTAATTAGCCGACTCTTTAGACGGCGACTCAAAATTAATTGCGAGCCCGTTTCGGCGATGTAAATTGCGCGCGTTTCACCGCTCCGTCGCAATTACACCTCATTTGAAACCTCGTTTTCTAATTCGATTGCCGATTCTATCTTAGCTCCTATATTTGTTGCTTTATTTTTTCTCTCTCTATTCACTTCTTCTACAAATCTCTTACGCAATACGTCCGCTCGATACATCACTAGAACTCATTCAATCTTCATAAACAACTTTGTTGCAAAGTTCTATCAATTTATAACTTAAAATTAAATATTTATTATTTACTTAAGACTCAACAACTCAAGTAAAAATTTTGTTAATTTTTCAGAAATGTTCACATTCTTCATCCAATTAGAACGTAATAATAAAGTAACTATATTTACTCATTTATGTTATTCAACATTTTCTCAACACTTTCTTTAATCTAACCATTTCAACACTTACAGATACGAATTAAGATTTCATTAAAAAAAAAAAGTATATTTTCATTGAAATTAAGATAATTTTGATAGCAAATAATAGCAAACTTATAATTATTTTTCAAAATGTATTTATTTACTTTAATAATTGCATTTTATATAAATTTGATGTTAATTCTTGAATTTTAAAATTTTATTTAATATAAATTGCGCGCGTTTCACCGCTCCGTCGCAATTAACTATTTAAACTCGTTAATTCTTGAAAATTTTAAAATTTTATTTAATATAAATTGCGCGCGTTTCACCGCTCCGTCGCAATTACACCTCATTTGAAACCTCGTTTTCTAATTCGATTGCCGATTCTATCTTAGCTCCTATATTTGTTGCTTTATTTTTTCTCTCTCTATTCACTTCTTCTACAAATCTCTTACGCAATACGTCCGCTCGATACATCACATTCAATCTTCATAAACAACTTTGTTGCAAAGTTTTATCAATTTATAACTAAAATTGAATATTTAAATTTTGTTAATTTTCAGAAATGTTCAATTTTTTCATAAATTAGAACGCAATAATAAAGTAACTAGATTAGTTTGTAAGTAAAATTATTTAAAAATCAATTTACAACTTACATTTAGTAAAATATAAATATTTATTGTTTCACTAATTAAACTTGAAACAATAACTTAATAATAAGTAATTAGATGTGTTACATGATATGTAAAAAATGTAATAACAAAAAAAAAACAAGAATTCCCCGCATAAGATTTAGCATACGGTTGTAGCGTGCATCTGTTGAAAAAGGGGACTTTGCATATTTGATTCGGTTTTAGTAAGACGATGCGAGAACCTGCGTAATAAACGTAGCGCAAGCAGTAGAAAACTAAGAATAAATGCATAGGTTATGAAGGAGACGGAATTAGATTCCGTCGCATTTTCTCTTTTATTTGTCTTCTTCCATCATAGTCTTCGTCTTTTTTGATTCGTCCTCGACAAAGCGAAGATACCTGCACAGATTATTGTGCAAATGCGGCCTAGATAGTCAACACACACATAATTCAAAATTAATTGGGGTGCTCTGGGAGAGAATCTCGTGAAGTTCTTCTGAAACTTTCGTGTTTTTATTTATTTTTCTTGTTGTTGTTGTTCTTGTAGTTTTTTCTCTTTATTTTCTGAATGTGTTTGAATGCGAGTGGCGGTGTGATGCAATCGAAAATGATTTCGGTGAATAAATCTTCGGTGAGGTTGTTGTTAAAGAGGTGGAGGAGGTGGATGTGGTGGAGAGGCCCTTAATCCGCCGTGTAAAGTAATAAATACAAAATTCCGCTGTTCGCTTGGGAATTTTAATGAATCAATAGAAGAATGTTTCCTCATTATATATCGGGATAGGTGAATGAAGAGAAGAAAGAGAGATCCCTTTTTCTCCTCTCCTCGCCTCCAATTTAAATATGTATCTCTAGGAATTCACGAAATAGCGAGCGCTTCCTAATTGGGTTATACTACAAGCTTTTCTACTTTTTTCTCTATGCTGTTGTTGTTGTTGTTTTTTCGTTGCTCACCTGTAGTAGTCCTCCTTGCAGTAGATGTTTCCGTCGCGCGCGAAGCAGGTGAGCTCCGAGTCTAAGGGCAGGTTGCATTCGCAGCATTTGAGGCAGTGTGCATGCCACTGTCTGTCCACCGCCAGAAGGTAGAATCTGTCGTGGATGCGACCTCCGCAGCCTCCGCATGTTGCCGCCTCCACGCTGGAACCGCCGACGCTCGAGCACGGGGACGAACCTCCCCTTTCGATTAATTCACGATCCTTCAGCATCTCTCAAGATTTAGCTAAAAAAAACAAAAAAAAATAAATTAACAAATCGAATTATACAAGATACATAGTTTCAATTAAAAGACAACATTGTTATATAATTAATAGAATAAAAAGCTCAAAACAATAAATTAGTAGATTAAATTAACTAAAAATAAGTTTAAAGACAACAATCTTATAATGATAATAAAAGTTAATATAATTCAACATATAATTCGCTTCAAATAACCACGAACAACTTTCAACATATTTTAAGTAGGAACTATAAAAGCTTTGATAATAGACGAACACTTATTGGTGTACAAGAAGTTGCATACAATGAATCTTAATCCCTTAAATCTCTTTAACAAACAACCCTCCAATTTTGATTTTAAAACTATTTGAAATAATTATTATTTTATACATAGTAATAAATGCAATTCATTCATTTAGTAATAAATCCAAAAAAAAAACGTAAATTTTACTACAAGTCGAACTTATTTCTAATTTGACTTGTTTTAGAAACGCATAATCAAAAGTTAATAATCATTACAGAATATACTAAATAATATATTGATTAAAATTTACATTTCATAATTTTCGCAAAGTTAAGTAGAAAATTCTAAATTTATTTATTTATTCACTAAAATTGTATTTATATTTATATACAAATTCTTTAATAATTGTTTAAATTCGAAAATTAGAAATATTATTTTGTAAGTTTTAATTCCAAAATTTATTTCTACAAGTTTTCTTTTACTTTTAGTTCAATTTTTCATTAGAAATCTAAATTCGACTCTTAATTATCATTGTATAAAAAGACTAGTAATAAATGCAATTCATTCATTTAGTAATAAATCCAAAAAAAAAAAAACGTGAATTTTACTACAAGTCGAAATTATTTTTAATTTGACTTGTTTTAGAAACACATGTTTCTTATGTACTAAAAAAAGTTAATAATCATTACAGAATATACTAACTTACTTTACTACTATACTACTTTATTTGAATATAATCAATAAATACGTTTCATAATTTTCGCAAACTTAAGTAGAAAATTCTAAATTGATTTATTTATTCACTAAAATTGTATTTATATTTATATACAAATTCTTTAATAATTGTTTAAATTCGAAAATTAGAAATTTGAAAAAAAATTTTGTAAGTTTTAATTCCAAAATTTATTTTTAACTTTTAGTTCAATTTTTCATTAGAAATCTAAATTCGACTCTTAATTATCATTGTATAAAACGTTAATTTTTTTTCCATTATAAATATAAATTTCATAATTAATTGCTTTTAAATGCAATAATGAATTAATTTTAGTTTGAAATTTGAAAATTGCTTATTTCGAGATGATCATTAACGCTTTTTTTTTCTCCCCGTCCAAGTAATTTGTAAATATCGTTGATTCGTTCGAACTAATTGAATACGGAGAATTTCCGTAAGGAAAGCTGATCGAAAAATAATTAACGGGGAGAGAAAAAAATAAATTAAATGAAAAAAAAAACACAACAACAACATATGTAGACTCATGCGTAATTAACACCAATTAGTGGGAGTTACGCGACGTGCGCTTTGAGAGAAGTCGAGATTTTTATAATTTACACGCTCGTATTGGCGCCTATTAATTATTTTAATGGAGGCCTAATGATTCATTAAAAATTAGACTGACGCAGGAAGAAGATATTGAAGAGAAGAGAAAAAGAATTGGATGTGAATTCTCTATAAATACAAGATCGGACGAAATCTGTGCAGATTCATTCGATACAGCAGCATCGGAAAACAGTCAGTTTACAATTCCGCAATTAACGTCTTCCGCTAATTGCGGCAATTAACATTGAGCAAAACGGGATCGATTTATCGGGTCTTCGTGGACCCATTCGTCTTGCACACAAATTTCTTCGCTTTTCGCTGCTGTATCTTGTTACTACCACGACCTTATCCTATTCCACATCTACTACGCACTTTCCTCTTCTACCAACGTTTTCCCATCATCTCATCCACCAACTCTTTCCACTTTATTTCTTTTACCATTTCTTTTATTCTCTTTTTACCCAGTCCCGCTGCTTCTTTGGTCGGCTGCTTTTTTACTCTTCGTTCTTTCTGCAGCAGCAGTAGCAGCAGCAATTCGCTGCTTTTCCCAAGAAGCAGATGTCCGTCGATGCAAAAGGCAAGCACACCAACAATTTCTGTTCTACGCTGTAATTAACTCTTTCTTTACATGCTCATACTTATTGCCTCCATACGGAACGGGAATACCAAAATCGAAAGTCGAATCGATCAATCCATTTTGCCCCCTCTAATTAGTGGAAACCGTCTTGCAGCGAATTGCTGCTGCACGTAGCCAAAGCCATCATCATCTCCGACTTCCATAACACCGAAGAATCGTTAACAAACACACAGAAATAAACAACAACCCTTAGACAATTATCACGTAGCATGACGATCTAATCTACGGAGATCGCACAATAATTAGTAAACATTATGGTTTCGGAGGCGATCATTGTTTATTTTAATTCAAATTTCTAAACTGTGTTTTTATTCAAATTCATCGAATTAATAAAAAGCGATTAACATAAAATGCACATAAAAAAAACGTTTCGCTACTGTTACACATTGCCCTCTCGATTTACTCTAATTTAAAAAATAATTGGAGCTACCAAGGTTTCCCAAAATTTAAATGCAAATTGCCTTCTAGATTCTTTCCTGTAATTTTTTTCTTGTTGTTGTTTATAAAGAAACAAAAACTAAACATAATAATGTATGCGTCATCCCCTCATTGATTTATTAAAAATATATAGATAAAAACAATAATTATTTAATTAATCATAATTTGATTAATTGAAAAATACTTATCGACAAGTTTCATTACGTTTTTTTTTTGTAGGCAACTTTCTTATCATCCGACTAATTACATTTGATAAGCGATTGCTTGATTGTAACAAATCATACGATGAAAGTAAACTTTAATTATTTTGATTAAACTAAATAAATTTCACAATTTAATTTTAATTTACAAAAATTCTTACAATAAGACGAACAAAATGATTACGAATTATTTTATTGAAAACAACCTTAGATTAAGATATTTTTTGACTTGAAACAATTTTATTTTTAATTGAACTTTTAGATTTTGTAGTTTTACTAAACAAATATTATATTTATAAATTTACCTTTGTTTTAATTGTACAAAAATTGTAATGTTATCATCAGGTATTATCAAGCATTATATATTTATTATAGGCAATTCCATTATCATTTGTGTCATTGAAAATTATAATTATCATTACTTGTGAATAGGGTTGCCAAATTTTATAATAAAAAAATATTTTTTTGTGTTATTGAAATATTTTCAATTATTTATTAAAATTTATTAAATTAAACATCTTTTATATTTAAAATGATTATAATTAATATGTTTTATTATCAATTTTAATTTTCCGTGCTTTGTTTATTTGTATATATTACATAAAAGATAACACAAAATACGGTATTGTTATATGCAACTGAATGTACACGTTATCATGAACATATCATTCATTATATAAACGTGCCGTTAAAGTTACAGATTTCTCGCAAAGACTGGCAACTGCAACTAGACCTAATTAGTGAATTAGAAACGCGGAATCGACGTCTACAACCCATAATTAACACGTTTCCTTCTAGCAAAACGAATATTGCAAATTGCCACCATCAAACTTGTCTAGAAACATATATAATTTTTTTTCACTTCTCCAACAGTTGTTGCTTATCCTTCAATTTGGCGCAAATATTCAAAACTTCCATTAATTAATTACGCATCCGCAGCTATATAATTATATCAAGTCACGGGGCTAAATTTGGATTTCAAAATTAGACTTTTTATTTTCGGTGCCGCTTAATTAAGTTTTATTTCCTCGCCGAAAGAGCACCGCAACAACAAAGACCTGTTAACAGCTAATTACATGCTCGGAATCAGAGGATTCGACTATTTTTAAAAACAGAAAAATAATTTAGATATCGTCGCATTCGAGCGATTCTTTTCAATCTATTTTATATTTTAGCTTTGAAAAATTAATAAAATTTTCATACAATCATTTTTAATCCAAGAAATAATAATTAAACAAACTTTTAGATAAATTATTTTTGTTTCTTTTTTCAATTAAAATAATAAGAATAAATCTAGATTTCAATATAGATTTATAAATTGTGAAAAATCTATACATTTTGTATTTGTATATTCAATTAAACTATTAAGAATAAATTGAGATTTGCAATGTGAAAAAAAGTACTGTATTTTTATAGTTAAAATGTATTTCAATTAACCAATCAAAGAGTTTCGTTTTTTTTTCGTCGTAAGTTTTAATTGATATTAGATCAATGAAAATACCGAAAAACCAGTAGCAACGAATGAAAATAGTTGAAGATGAATCCAGTTATTTTCGTCGGCCTGACAATTCCACAAAACCATATTCCCGAACGGAATGCCAATAAAAATCCGATGCAACGTTGATAACTAATTGATGACGTTCGTTAATTCACGCACTAATTCAGGAAGTCCGTGAATCCATAGACGAGTTTCCAGAATAAACGTTTCAATACGTTAATTACATTTTTCTAATAGATAGAGCAACAAATTCCCTTTCGTAAATTAATGACTGTTGATGACAGTTTATAAATGACAACTGATAAATAATGACAGTTACATAAGTTATTTTATAGATGAACTATGATGTTTAGGTGCACTTGTAAATTAATGCTAATTATGAGTTTTTGTGTATTGATTTATTTTTGCGCGAGTAAATAAATGATTTATGTAATGCAAATAACGTTGTTCGCTAATGAATGCGTAGTGATTTAAATTTTGTTTGTTTTTGTTGCTTGGTAACCGAAAATTTGTTATCTGTCAAATTGTGTTTTTGTGTGAATTGCAGTGAATTGTGTGAAGTGCAGCAATTTGTCTTGTTGAGTCTGAATGGTAGATGAACGATGACAGTTGGGTACGGTGGAAATTAGGTAGTTACACGGATCACAATGGGTAATTGTGAAGAAGGGCGCTTCGCATTGTCGAATTATGAATAAATTTTCCGGGGTTCCGGCGATTGCGGTGAAACTATTTATTTGGATGATCTGGAGCTCAGCGTGCCGTGACTAAATTATGCACCCTTCGTTTGTTTTT